CTAATAGCAAACTAACCACAAACAATACTTATTTTTCACTTCTTTCTCCTTTATACCTCCCATGTTTTTGTTGGGAAAGGTACTGAGGAGAGTCTAGCCAAAGCAGACTCCAACCTTTATCAGACAAACGGAAAACAATTTCCAATAACAATATTACGTTTAAAAGACCCTGTGCCTTGTTCCGTCAAAGCTGTGTATCACCTTTAATTAAACCATATTGAACGTGTTACAGTGTTTTAGCAGATCAGAATGCCATTTATCCAGTATCTTATGCAAAAAGTCTCCAACACATTGCAGCCTTTATGGCCAGCTGCTGGGCATTTGTCACCTGCGCTGAAATCAAAGCCCTTGCAGGAAGCTAATCCTCCGTGTGTTTGTGTGTGTGTGTGTGTGTGTGTGTGTGTGTGTGCATGCGTGAGGTGGCTTTAGAGGCTGGGGGGGCTCGCCCAGGCTGCGTGTGAACAGCTCCCTGCCAAAACCATAATGAAACCGCGACCAAATAATCCCCTGCGTTGGAATTATTGGTCCGGCTGCCAATATCTCACAGTTTACACACACATGAGCTGCTGGGCAGCGAGCTAGCAGCCTCTGTTCTGCAGGAGGACAGTTTTGTATCCATCCTAACGGCGTGGTGCAGTGGCTCAGGAAACGAATGAAGGGTCCACTTAGTGATGATATACAAAGATCCATTAGCTATATTAATATTAACAGTATTAATGCCCCCGTCCCTGCTGAATTCCCTTGACAATAAAAGTGGAAACATCCCCCCACTAGAGTGAAGCTTGAAGGTGATGGCTGTTGAAGGCGGACCACAAAAGGGCACATTAAGAATTTAAGAGCCATCACAGCCACATCAGCTGGAAAATCAAGTGAGGCATGCATGGAGACAATTAACCAGAGATTTATAGCGAGCAATGCGATCCTGTGTGCTACTGTCAGTTTCCCTTATAGTATGCCGTGAACACTCTTTGATTAATGGTAGCTCGGGGCATACCGGTGTCAGAATGGAATGCCCAGTAGAGCGAACAGCTCTATGGTGCAACTACCTTGAAACGGTTTCCTTTTTTGCACTGAGCGCATAATTAATCTGATCAAGGGCAGACGTGACTGCAGCGAAGAAAGCCAGGGTGACAGACTGAATGAAAATGCTCTGAGATGGGAGACAATAAGTGCTACTGATACCTTTGAGATAGGCAGCAGAAATGGTTAAGAGCTGCCTGAGATGCAATGCAACGCAATGCAATGACAGTGACTGACTTTGAACGCAACCTGAGTGATTTAGAAAAGATGTCCATATCAGCTGTAGCACAGTCTGCTGACCGAAACACATTATGATCTGATTTTAGGGTGGCTGTCATGTGGATACTGCAGTGGAGTCTGTGTATACCGACTGGCTCTTGTTGCACTATCGATTCAGCAGCACTGCAGTTTAGAGAGGCATTAGCTTAGTATGAGAAATGGAAAATAAACAAAAGGGAGCTTGCTGAGAGCAGACCAACAGACACTGAATGAAATCGAGAATGCAGATCCACAGTTTCGATCCAAAATCTTGCTACTTTGAACACTTCAAAACATTTAGGCTAAATTCAATAGTTCTGGTTGTTCACACATCCTAGATAAAAAAAAGAAACATTCAAGCTGATCTTGTTTGCGGAAAAAATGTTTTTTAAATCTGGGTTGTTTTGATGCATAAAAGTGATGCTCCAGACGCATAATTTGAGAACATCATGGTGTTATACTTCACTGTTGTTTGAGTTATCAAGCATGTGGAAATTACTCAGAAAAACGCTTTTACTTGCCATTTCCCCCTAGGACCGTAAACAACAACGTTTCAATCAGGTTATGTAAATCTGTCAAATTCTACACTGACAGGACTACTAATAGGGGTTTTCCATTAGCACCCTGTCAGCCCTGTTCAGCTCTCCTTGCAATGCCACAACTTGGTTTAGGTGGTTTTCCTTTACAAATATGACAGTCTGATTGAACCCTGATGTCAATTCTATGTGACACACACTCAAGACAATAATGAATGACATGGTGATAACATTATACTGGCTGACTCTTGGTGTTGGTTAATTCATTAGGCATTTCAATATGGAATTATTAAAAAATGATTAAATCAGGTATTTGTTGTTGATAAATCTAAACTTTTAGGGGGTACTACCAGCCCTTGATTGAATACAAAAACTGACTAGACCCAAGCCGTGGGGAGTAGATAGTAGTGAAAAAACCCAATAAATGGGCTCCATGCCCATTAAACATGTAAAGGAAAAAAATTAAGGGGAGAGCTTTTTTTCAGCCTAATTGATGCTTGAAAATCCTCAGAGAATTCTTCATATTTGGTCTTATTTTTCTCAATAAATGTAACATTTATTATTACAGAAAATCTCATTGAGACGCGTTGCTAATTTAATTTCTAATAAGAATGGGGGCACAAAGTGCCATTGCCACATTTCAATTCCACATGAAGACCTTGTCCACATGTACTAGGGGGTTTTGAAAACCAAAGGTTTTTCAAAGATTCAAGACTCAAAAAGCTTTATTTATCCCAAGGGAACTTGCTGTGCAACACAGGGTGAAAATAAATAAATGCAACTAAAGTAGTGAGCAATTCTGACCAGTGATAAATGATAGCAGCTTAAAACACAACAAATAAGCAATGAACAGAGAAAATGAAAAATGTTAAGTGACTAGCGATAAAGTGGACTTTATCGTCAGTGTAGTTGTTGGAGGTGCTCGGGCGAGCACAGGTATGATGTTGTCCATGGGGAGCAGTGGGGGAGGGGTGACAGCAGGGCTGGAGGAATGGGGATGGCTGGCTGTTGCTGGGGGAGGGGTGGTCTGGTGCCCTCTCATCAAATCGGCGAAGAAAAGATCCAGCTCGTTGGCTAGCTCACTACCACTTCCTATCGTCCGGCTACCAGATGGGTTCGAGACAGTGATGCTCATGCTGCTCCACACATCCTTCATGTTGGTTTTCTGGACTTTGTGCTCCAGCCTCTTCCTGTAGCTGTCTTTGCTCAGCTGGATCTTCACCTTGAGCTCCCTCTGAAAAACAGCCTCATCTGGTCTCTGTCCTCTGAAGGCCTTCTTCTTCTCATTTAGCAGGACCTTGACGTCTCTGGTGATCCGTGGCTAGTTCATTGGGAAACAGTGTACCTTCCAGTCTTTAAGTTCAAAGCCACCCTGTAAAGCTTTATCGTCACCACCTTCATCTTCTCACCATCCTGGTGGTCACAGGAAGGGGCTGCAGGTGGATGAGGTTGTGGTCTGAGCTTCCAGGAGGAGGAAGGGAAGTGGAGCTGTATGCCTCCTTAACATTGGCATACAGTAAGTCCAATGTCTTATATTCCCTGGTGAGACAGTCCACAAACTGTTTGAAAGTGGGCAGCGTTGCAGTCAGAATTATGTGGTTTAAGTCATGCTGACCTTCTAACATTCTTCCATCGAGAGCCTGCTGACATACTACATCACAGTATGGGTCTGCAGCTCCACTGCTGCTGACATGGAGAGGCTGCAGAGAGTTGTCAAGGCAGCACAGAAGATCATCGGCTGCCCTCTCCCCTCCCTGATGGACATTTACACCCCCCACTGCCTCAGCAGAGCCAGGGCTGTCTCCAAAGACAGCATCCACCCTGGCTCTGTTATGTTTGACCTGTTGCCCTCACGGAGGCGCTACACGTGCAAACAGATTCAAAAACAGCTTTTTCTGGACTTTAATGCAGCCATATTACAAGGCAACAATGATCCATTCGAGGTCTGTTTAAATAAATGAACAGGCCTAAATCTGTAAAGCAGAAGTTCTGTGGCATTATTGCCATAATAAAAACAGAAACTGAAATGTAAAACAATGGGAGGAGAAATCTCTCTCTCAAATCTTTCATCTTGCTAAATCAAACATTTTAGAACAAGAGCTTGCAAATAACTTACACAGTTTGAGTGTAGAAATGGAAAGTCATCTATAAAAAATAAATACCAATATAAACAAAAACAGGATCATGGCAAGACATCTGCTGAAAAGAGTGAAAAATTAATCTCACAAAACAAAATCATTTGAATGCTTGGTGCACGCCGCCACTGTCACATGGACTCCTATTATATCCCCTCTATCCAAGCTGGTCGACCGAGTTAAGTTGTGACAACGCCATCAGATAAAAAGAAGCACGGGACTGTTGCTCTTAGCTTCTGTTTTTATCTCTGTGATGACAGTCTGTGGCTGCTAACCAAACACAACCACAAATGATGACTCAGCCGCTCCACTAGAGATCATAGTCGTGGTTTCACAATATCACAGTGTTTTTCTTTTTATATCTGATAAAACACAATGATTTGATAATAACACAAAGCTAAGATTTTTTTAATTTAAATAAACCTGCTGGCTTATCTTTGCAAGCCCCACCCACCCCCTCTACTGCACTCGTATTCCCTCTATATCTACTCTGGTCTGAGTAGCGATTTTATTCTATTGTTGGCTTTGATGTTAACTTTATAGTTGTATCTGCATTGTCTCTTTGGACAAAATTGGGGTAGGCCCGATATATTTTAAGGAGAAACAACGATTTGACCGAAATAGACTGTTCATCAGCTGATCAAAAGTTTAAGACCACGGCTCAAAAAAACCCTGAACACCTCCCAAAACAAAAATTGAAGTGTCAAAAACTGATTCAGTAATGAGTAGCTCCACCGTTATAGTTGATCAGAGAAGTGTTTCCCAAAGGCTAGTGGGAATGTTGCTCCAAGTGGTGAAGATGGCTTACAAAAGGCATCCACTGTCTGGGACTGCTGTCCATTTTTGTAAAAAATTCCCTTGCTATCTATCCCCAAATGTACTCCTTTAGATTTAGATCAGAGGAGCATGCAAGATGGTCCAAAGGAGTGATGTTATTGTTCTGAGTGTTTGAAAAACTCAGTCATTACCACACAGACGAGGGCCCTCAGGACCATAATTTTCTCGTTAGAGAAAAAAAGTTTCTTCCAACTTTGAATGTCCTATGTTTGACGCTTGCTTGCAAAGTCCAAACAGGCAATATTGTGGTGTTGAAGGAGATGTGGCCTTTGAAAACGTTTCTTGATTTTAAAGCCCTCCCTTTGCAAATGCCATCTGATGGTTATTGGGCTGAAGTCAGCACCAGTAATGTCCTTAATCTGGGATGAGGATCGTCACTTCTTGAAGACAGTCATTTGGATCCACCAGCTCAGCACTGGAGAGATTGTTTTGGGTCTAACATTTCATTTTTTAGTTCCATAACCCTTAGAACCCTTCAAAACTTTTGGTCTCTTCTTCCAATTTCTGCTTTTTGCATTTCGAACCTCTACTTAGAACCTTCCTAAGATCGGAAAATGCGAAATACAAATTCACGCAATTTTTTTAAACTGGTCTTAAGATTTCGATCAGGAGTGTACTTGATTAGATGCAACAATCAGGATTTTTTTTATATTTTGCATTTCAATTGCATCCTGAGGAAATTTCTTGTGAGAGAGAAAGAAAGAGAAAAGAAAAAACTTTGTTAAAAAAACCTTTTTGAGCTCTGCGACCCTTTTCTGTGTTCTGTTTAATATTTGTGGCTGTTACATATTATATATTAGAATTTAATGAGTTTGTCAAATGGGGATCAGACAGAAAAGACAGAGCCTAAGCCCAAAGACTTTTCCTTGGAACAGAGGATAAAAAAGTCAATTAAATCAACCTAATTTGAAATGCAAGATCAATTTCTTGCATATGTCAAGCAGTCAAGATTTTGAGTGTGCAAATTTATTTTATCCTTAATCTTTCCACAGCTGCACATTATGCATGTTCTTCAGACAAGGGCTGAAAATACACGTTAATTCCACAATGATTATGCTTTTACAGGACAATTATTGATGCATTTCTCTATATGTTCTTTTTCCTTTCCTTTTTTTAAACCATATGACTACATTTTGTTTTGTTATGTTCGCTGTGAATGAAGACTTTTGTTTTACATCAGTGAACAATTCATAATCTTCTATGGCTTCCTATAAATGCATCAAAAGTGTTATTACTGCCCTCTATCCCTCCCTAAGAGGGAGGCCCTGCTTAAGATACAATCTCACAGCGGGGCAGACATCTGTCCAAAGACAACAGAACATGATTTTCAACATGCTGAGACAGGCATGTCTTTTTGGTGTTAGTACCAATACTAACATAACTGTTACAGTGATGAGCAACAGGAAAACAGCACTGCAGTCAGCTGAATGGAAAAACTCCAGAAGTTGAATACATTTACATATGCCAACACGCTCTAAACATTTAAGGACTTAAAAAAACAATCAGGATTATTTTGCAGTGTGACCTTAAGCAGATGTTGGACATTGGACAGACTTTGTAAAACTGTCACTTCATTTCTATACTTACACGGGATGTGCATAATTAATTTCCTGAGGGAGTCTTCCCAAGGGATCAATAAAGTACTGTCTAAGTCTAAGTCTACAAATTTGGTAGTCTCATTACCTTTTCAGGTAAAATGGGGGAAAAATTTTATTTGACTGAGAAAAAAAAAGAACTGCAGACCGGTTGAACCAAAATATGGATATTTCTCATAACATTCAAAAAGTTCATGAAGAACCAAAGTAAAATGGACGAGATTTAAACACTCAAACTGTGCTAATATATATGTCATAATATTATTTGTATTGTGTAATGGCCCACAATGGAGCCACATTTAAACCAATTGTAGCTTTTACAGAGAGCTTACTCTTTGACTAATAAAAAAAAGTTTTCATCGGCATGAAGCAGCTCATTCAGACAGGGAGATAATTTTCATACTTAAAATTAAAATTCATTCCATATAAACCCCTGGACGTTTATTAAGTTAGGTCTGTTTTCTCGATTTGTTTTGCACCCTAAATGAAAAGGTCAATGTAACAGTCTGGCTCGGTGACACTCAGGAAGTCAAAAGCATGTTTCTGAGTGCTCAGCTTAAATGAATTTCCGGCTATAGGAGCGAGAGAGGAAGTGGTAGTCATACTGTCAGGATAACAACTGTGGTTATGTTTAAATAGTGAGTGTATCTGTGAGGATATACCTGTATTACTAACACTGCTTTTAATGTGTAAAAATCTGGGGATGACCTTCCATTTAAGTGAGTCCTGTTTATATCAGTACATTTTTAATGTGAATAAGTCAGAGGCACAATGTGAGATAATCCTCCTGGCGCATTGAAACATGACTGTTTATGTGTGCGACTCAACACTTAACTGCCTGTGTGGCTTTCTATTAAGAGAGTGAGCAGCACTGTGGGAGGTTACTGCAGTACTCCCTGCTATAGAACAGGATTGCATATCTAAAAAGAGAGACTAAAGATTCAGCCTACTCACAGACATGCTATACATCGTGTACACACACATCAACGACCTCATTCACAGACAGGAACACGCTTTGTTAGTCAAAGCAAACGGCAGACGAGTTAAATAAGTGAGGCTGGAGGACATGGTTTGGACTAACTGAACACATCTTCTATGATTATATATCGAAATGTTTTCATGTTGGAGCTTTTAAGGGAGTTCACAAATTGAGTCTTGAAGATAGTTTACAAAAAAGTACTTGTTTGCAGCAATGGGACGCAAATAACCTTCTTCAGTATTCCCCAGACTTTCTTTATGAGGCTTCACACACGGGGTACAGGGGAACACTTCTTTACATGTGACTCTTAAAGTCTGCTGTTATACACAGTTCTATACCCATTTTGTCCAGTCACAGATGTGTCCTTTACCTCAGCTTCATCTGCTGAGTCTAATGCTACGAGCACTGACGGTGGGAGTTAACTACAAATAAAAACAGATGTGATGAAATGGAGGGGGATTACAGTTTAACCTTAGATCAGTGTTTCCCAACTCAGGTCCTCAAGGCACACTGCCCTGCATGTTTTTCCACGTTTCCCTTCTCCAGCCCACCTGATTCTAATGAATGGGACTTTAGCAGCTTTCTGCAGAGCTGAAAAGTCGTTCCATTTGTGTGAATTAGGTGTGCTGGAGCAGGGAAACTTGGAAAGCGTGCAGGGCAATGTGCCTTAAGACCAGGGTTGGAGAAACACTGACTTAGATCACCATAATGGTAACACTTAGAGCATAAAGCTATTGGACCCATACTCATGAGTTTCATGGATTAAATCAATAGTTAAATTAACAGTCGAGAAAATCAGGTGGCCTTCATGGCAAGACAAGGGGTTGATTTACACACAAAGCAATATGCCAGATTAAAGGGAGACTTATTTCTCCCTTGAATTAAATATTTATGAAAAGTCAGTATCTGAACAGCACTAGGCAGCAGTCTGAGTGCAGTTTTCAGAGAATAAGAGAGAGTATCTCATGGGAGGGAAGCCAGCTACTGAGAGTAGAGAGGAAAAAAACGAAAACAAAAAACTGTTTTCCACATCTAAAATGAAATTCCCCCAAAATCCCGCTGCCGAATAGCTGTGACTTGCAGTTCCTAAAGTCGAAAATCTTAAATCGAGTACATCTTTGTAGGCATTAACGTCCTATGAGTCCTTATATTATGATGGTATAGAAGCATAGTTAAAAAACACAAACAAAACAATCACTTTTGAGGAGAGGATGCATGTGCAACCACAAAAATAAATTTTTGCAATGAACATCTGCAGGAAGCTGAAACACACTAGGAATGCGGCACTCTGCACAGATTAGGATCCATCCTACACATTTCACTCTGACCTCATTCTCAAAAAGCCAGAACAAAAATAAAAAATGACGACACTGTTAAAAATGAATTAGGAAGACAAAATACAGGCAGATGTGCAGCTCAAATAGCACAGGGTGGCAGTAAAATTTGAAGAAGGGTTGGTTACAGAGAAAGTGAATAATTAGCACTTTCACAGATTCTGCTCTCTGTGGGAGGGCTGCAGAGAAATCATGTTCTTCTTTAGTTCCTCCTTGGATCTCACGCAGCAGATGGTTTAGCATGTTTTCTGCCACTCTCAGCTTAATTTCTCGTTTTATCCCAGTTTACCCCCCTCCTCAAGCTATCGTAGCGCAAAGATACCTCACAAATATGAACTGTACACTAAACAGCATCTGTGAATTTATGTTTGTGTGTGTTGTACGAGCTTTTCAGATATCACAAGCTGAAACAATCTATTTCTTGAAAGCTCTTTAGTAAAAACATAAGAAGACTTTGACAACTCAGTCACATTGACCATATCCATTCTAAAAATGTGGAAGCAACAAACATCCAATTTAGATTTTTCTCAGATCATCAGCATTGTAAATTCCAAAAACAGGGCCCAACACAGCAATCCTTCATGGTTTTCTCATGATTGTGTCAGCCAATTTTTGTATCGATAAACTACCTAAACCGAATTGTGTAGATAAATGATGGGCTGAGTAGGTGCTAAGGGAAATGCCCATAACATATTGACTGCACTTAAGGTTTGTCTTAGCAACAAACTGCAGCGATAGAACTTTATATTAACATCTGTGATAGCCCACACACATCAGGGCTGAAAACAATTCCGTTTACCTAAGCATGATCTGATTATTCATCCATATGTACACTCTTCCCTTTTCAGGCTGTCTACCTGTGTGTGAGCCTTTATATCAACTTCATGTTTCTGTTTGAACTGTTAAAGATAGCATACCAAAAGACATCCTGGGTATGTTTCAAAATGATCTTGCTCTCACAAAGTCCCTTGTAATATCAACAGCTGCACCACAAGCTGCACATATCTGAGAAAACAGCACTAAGGTTCTCTCAGAAATAATGTGATATGGGTACTCCATAAAACCTAAAAAATTAAGTTATTTCTTAAACTTTGATATTTGGAAATGAGCGTCATTGAGGGAGAGGCTGCAACCAACTCTCCCGCTTGAATCTACACATAATCTCCCCTTAGCCAATGAGGGATTCCTATCAAACAGTGGCTGGAATATCATGAAAGGATATGGTAATAACCAAAAACACACACACAAACTGCACGGAAGCCTAACCAAGCACTGCACTAATACAATGTGTCTGGTGTGGGACCATTTACATACCCTTCTAGTGCGCTTGTCACATTCAATTAATTCATCTCTGGAAGGGTGACAGAGATGATTAAAAAAAAAAGATTAAACATACTTCCTCATAGGGCTGGACAGAAATCTCTTAAGTCTTTTTAAGAAGAAGCCAAATAATCCAATAAAAAAAGAAGGCATGCCATCTTTGTAATACTTAAAGATGCTTTTACCCTCATTTCTCAAATGGGATTACACCATCTTTCCAGCCACAGACGAAGGGAATGTAGAAATAAGCCAGAAAAGACATCTGTGGGAGTTTCTGTGATCATGCTTCACTCTGATAGGAAGAGAAGAGCTAAAACTTGTAGGCTTGAGAAGAACAGAAGTGTCTGTTCATCCGATGCCTTGTAACAAGTGGAGCCCATTTAACACCGTCAGATAAATTAACAGGTGAAGAAAGGGCCGGGGAGACATCGAGTCTTTTGTTCAACCAGACACTCCTTGTGAGGACACACCAAATGAATTAATCTCGGCTACAGGCTTTTAATGTTAACATTGTTGGACTATACCATTACGTGGCATAAAATGACAGCCTGAATGAATACCTCTATGCTGACACACATACGTTAAATCAAATGAGCTGATAAGCTTGCGGGGTAACTGGGAGCTGTTATTGTGAAGGAAATACCCCCAAGGGTCTATGAATGCATCAATTTCAAGTTGTGCCGCACCTCTGCTTGATTATACCTAACTGCCTCAGAAATACATCTGAACAGCTCAAGCCTGATTTTTCACTTATGACTAAAGATTTCTGACTGCGGGCAAGCCTAATCCATTCGTCACAAGCCTTCCTCTCAGCATAGACGTTTCTCAAGAAGTCTGTTTCCTTTTAAAAAAAAAAAATCTGTCAGTTTTTATGAAACAAGCCGTTTGTGAAATTTCTTTTTACCCCCTCTGTTGTTGCTTTTCTCACAGCAAACATAAAGGCATACATAGGCCTGGTAGCTGAAATTTGAAAGGGAACAAACCGACTGTGATGGTGCTATTTGTCGCAGTTCCATTCATTTCTCACCTGCTTAAAGTGACCTCAGCTTTTACGTTACTCCATAAACAAAAAGGTATATGAGCTGCTCTGTTCGGATAGCCAACCCTGATCCTCTGTTCCTCCGTTTATGTGCTTCTCTGTATTTACAATTTCTGCAGTTACAGAAACGACCAAGTGACAGAGAAAAAAAGTGAATGGGATTAGGATAATTGGGAATTTGGCTTTATTGGTATACACTTGTAGACTTTGGAGCATGTGCATTCATTCATGCATACAGAAAGATTCCAAAGCCAACTATCTAGGGTTGGTGAATTAATCTTTTTATGATTTTGGGCTCGACTAACATTTCTGTACATCTACACAGTTTCACACTTCTGGTAATCTAAATGGGTCTTTTACTACATTTACAATCTGGTCTATTTCATGCTGTGCCATGTGGAGGCATTGCTAAAATCAATTCAAACCAGGTTTAAGCTCTAGCCAGTCTAGCCAGTTCAGCTGGCTCCGTTCATCATGTACAACACAAGTGTGGTTCACCATTACCTCCCTGACAATCTGACTCACTACCTCAGTTCTGGAAATCATAATCTATCGGAAGAATGTAGCTGTTCTGGGCTTTACACAAAATAATCTGAGTATGAATCAAATAAGACGACTTTAAAAACCGCTAAATCTGTCAGTGACAAAACTAAAAACATCCAGCTACAGCTCAACTAGCGAGTCATTGATTTTACAAGTTTCCTGTTTGTATTCTTATTTGAGTTCAATGTAAAATAACTCAATGAAAGCTTGGTCATACGTGATGGCTGCTGCTCTTCTGGACAGGAAGAAGTGATCGGGAAATATCACCTGTTCATTAATCATTGTACATCATCTGTATCGATAAAGACATGGTGTACATTACTAATGGCACAAAAGGTTGGTTTCTTTCACATGCAAAACACTTAAGACTTGTATGTGCTATCCATCCAAAAGTATTCTGTCTATGTTTCTGAGAAATAAAGAAACTAGCTAACTGGTTTATTGCGACATTGTTTGTTGTTCGGGCTATACACATTTTGAGGCAAAATTCCCTTCTAAGTTTTTATTTTACAGCAGCAGGGTCTGCTGATCTTTTTAATACCCACGTTACAAAGCTCATGTTTAGTTGCACTTTACATTGAGGTAAACTCCCAAAGGGGATAATAAGAAAAAAACTAAACTTGTTTCGCTTTAAGTTTTAAAGGAAGAGAAAAAATAAAGCTACCCCAGCCTTACTCCAGACTAAATTGGTATGTCCAGCACTGCCTGATTGTTGCTCATTTTGAGCCATACAGGGGTAAGAAGTTCTGGCAAGACCTAACAGTCGAAAGAGTTTATTTGTCTGGACAAGTGTGCAGTTTTTGAGACAATGAGCTCATCTCTTATGTTGAGCAGTGCAGCATATATTCTATTAAGGTTTTGAAAACAAGGTGACATTTCAGGACTTAATAGTAACGGAAAAGGGAAGTCTTACTGATGCCGCGAAAGAATAAAACTGGCTTGTATCCTGTGGCTGTGTACAGACATAACTGTGTAAACCCAGCTGCTGGGCACACTGCCTCTCGATCACTGAGATTTCCTGCTCTCTCTGCTCTCCAGGAAATGCTTGGACCTAACCATAATGCTGGTGCGTATGTAGATAAAGGTAACAAATATAAATGAATCAACATATATCATGAAATGACTAAAGATGTTATGAAATACCCGTAAATCTCCCATTAATTCATCAAATGTATCAAGAAAATTCATAAAATCATCTAATTATATTTAGAACTAAATAATTAAATACATCATGAAATTATTAAATATGCAATGAAATAATGAAATGCCCCATGAAATAATTAAATCAACCTTTTCAAATAATGAATACTAAAAAGTCCTATTAAAGAAAATTCTTATTTACAAATATATTTATTCATTTTACTGTGTATTTATTTATTTCATGCCTCCTTTGTAAGCGCTGTGAAATAATTTCAACAGTCAAACCCAACCATCAAACTCAGTGGGCAGGACTTTTTTGGCCTGTCCATAGACCTTTAATGCATCAATAGTTGTTTCTTAAACTCCAATAAACAAAAAGAACAAGAATATGCTATTTTTTCAACGCAGATGAAAGTGGTGGAATAAGACGAAGGAAAATTACTAAAAGTTGTCCAGAGTTGCTACAAGAGGTAGCACATTTAATTGAGGAAGCTCTGAGAGAGGACATACGGCATCTGTCACATCTGATTCCCCTCCTTTCCCGTGTTTCGTGATAACAAAAAAATCAAAAGCTTATCAATGACAAAAAAGTTTAGAACTAGTGCGTTTTCAACTTGAGGATTCATCTTTTGCTAAAACTGTCTAACAGTCAGGACGAGTACTGTTGGCAACACAAGTGTTTCATTGATGTGTTTGGAAAATCTGTTTCGCGTGCAGATTGTTACATTTATCCAATAAATGCACGGGCACACAACATTTCAGCCTTTCATTGCACTCTGATTAAGAAGGAAGAGGAACAGTGCAAACCAGTCAGGCTGCTGCAGCATGCAAACCAACAATACAGCTGCAAAAAAGGTGGTGAGCACAGGCAAACATCTCAAGCCTCTTGATTTTTATTTGACTTTTTACCCAAAGCCAAGTTTAGACTGCCTATAACGTTTATTTGTTCAGCCTTATCCAGAGCAATCAGTCATCAAAATGCAGCACAGCAGTCTATTTGCCGGTATGATTTACACAACTTGCTGAGCTGGCACAGTTCACTCACTCACACACTCTCACTCACACACATACACACTTTAAAGTGCCTCAGGTGTCAGAGCTAAAAGACCTTTCATAAAACACACAATCAACAGGCTCTTACCTGCAATTTGGCGGTGGATCCAAGGTTATCTCTGCCAGCTCCTTCTGGATTCTGAAATGAGAGGTGGATGGGCATCTTAATCACCATCTCATAGACACTTACAAAAACCCTGCCTGCAAAATCAATTCCCAAGCGTACACAATGTACATATCATTGATTTCCTAATGAGCTCCTGAGAAAAGTAATTGAAAGTGGCAATGGGTTCTGTCATGTAAAGTTGACAAAGGCATCCATAGCTGCATATTTGTTATTTTTCAAAAGGGAGCATAAAACTGATCTGAGTGCAAGAAAAAAAACAAAAAAAAACAATCAACATCTGTTTTTGTGGGATAAATAAATGTTTCTGTTAATCATAGTCATCTTTCAGCCCCCACATTTTAGGAAGCTGTTGAAAGGATTTCCATAGTGAACACAAAAAAGGCTTTAATGAATAGACCGTACCGGGGTCAGATGTCTCCCTCATTAAGTATTCATCGCATGCCAGGAATTTGCCTACATGGATGTAGAAGCCAGGTGTTACTTTACAATTGCCCAGTCGGCTATAAAGGCTGCTGTAATTTTTCCCTGTCGAGATAGCCATCTCTGCCTCATCTCATAATGGAACAGCTCAAAGTGTTTTAAAACAAAGTTTTTTTTCATGTTCCTTTTGCATGTGCAAAGCTTATTTTCTGGAAAGCTGGTTTATTTTAAACACAATAAAAACTTAAGTCTGTAATTTGTTTGTTTGAACCTTTAACTAACAAATATAGAAAAGTTATTTTCGATGTCTTCATTACGGTAACTTAATCATAGTAAGAATATATACTTATAGGCCTAATGTACAAACTTACACAGTACAAAAATGCTGGGACAGAACCAATGAAAGGAAAGTTTCCTGAATAAACAATGCATAAATGGTGTTGTGGAAGATTGTAACTGGTGAGTGTCTCAGGATTGGGTATAAAAAGAGTATCTACCAAACACTTATTCTTCCTCTTGAAGAGTGGGTTGGAATGCACCTCTTTGTGCCAAACTTTTAGTCCATTACAAAAAAAATTTGAAAAACAAAGTCTCTATACTAGACAGCAAATAAATAGGATATTTCAACATCTGCACGGCAAAGCATGGTGAAAAGATGAAAAAAGTCTGGAAAAATGTCTAACACATAGGGTTAATGACAAAACAGAAAGGCACAGTCGTAGTAGTTGGGATAGTGGTCTGTGGTTCAATCCCTAGTCTGTACATGAGTGAAATTGGCAATACACTGAACCTGTTTGAATGTTCAGTACTTGTTTGTAGATGTGAACGTTGTATACTGTATTCAAATTGTAGATGCATATACAATTAAAAGTTTATACATGCCTAGAAAAGATGAACAGGTGTTACATAAATGTAGACGCTTTACTGACAAATGTGTTGTACTTTTGAGCCCTCAAGAAACATTGAATATAAACAAAAACAATTAAGACATGACCAATACAACCACAAAGATGCAAAAGTATAATGGAAAATTAATTTTACTCAGCCTTCCACAACATTCAGTAATGCAAACAAACACTGTATTATAATCGCCCTACTGTGAATAAGCAGTATAGAAAATGGATGGATGGAAGAGCCGTATGTAAATCATTATCCTGAATTACTTGGAAAAAAAATACAGTACATGTATTTGTCAGAGAATAGAAATCATACTTTTATTCTATTGCTTCTAGTTTTTATTCTTTCTAAACAATTCAATTCAGTGAAAATAACTGGAAATATATATATATTTTTAAAAGCTTGATGTGAAAACTGTATGGATCTGGAGTTTCCATGACTTTGGTGACAATATATTTTTATTCCTTATTGTTAAAACCAATAGAAAACAATATTATATTATGTCATATAAGACTGTATCATGAAGCAAAAATACAATTTTTTGTTTTGATTCAAACAAATAAAATCTAAACTGAAGAAAATGTTTGTGTTTATTAGATAGGCATTTCTTAAAATTAAAAACTATGGGGGATCCCACAAGCTCTACAAATCTCATGAACAAAGATATAGCATTTCAAAAGTAATTCATTCATCCATGTTGGCTGATGTTGGTGGAGCCTTTATACTAGCAATGTAAACCATTCGTCAATGCAACTGTTTGTCTTTAGCGGTTTATCTAGTCACAATGGCTGATTTCTGCACCCATCACAGCATGACACATTTAACCACAACTGAAGCCACAGTTCTGGAAATAAATACATCCACGACCTCAGCGAGCAGAGTCAAGGAAGCTGCAGCTGTGCTCACAGTGAGTGGCGTCATGCTGTCTCAGCCTTGTCTTTAGACAAAAGGGATGAGCAATAACTGCATCATGTACAATGTCACTTCCTTTTTTCCGTCTCTAAAATGGCACCATACTAAACCAGAGCAGACAAACATAACTGGTCCAAGAAACTGTCTGAATGCAAACCATTGTTTGGGGGATGCAAACAAAGAAAAACAAAAGCTAGAATCAATAATTGAATTAAAAACTACTATACAGCTGCTTTGGCACGTGCTTTTCTCCATCTTGGAAATGTCTATTTGCTTTAAAAGCACCAAATCCGGCACTAACAATGTTGTTTATCATGCAAGTTAAAAAACGAAATATTATTTGAATTAATTTCCTCTTTGCTATGATAAAAACAGTGAGAACAGACATATTTGCAAGCTGACGTCTGTGTCAGTTTTGACTGGCTTTTTATCAAAATGTGGATGTTTATGACTGGAATAACAATGAAAATGCTGGTCTAATCCCATGTATGATTATCTACTATCAATATTTTCTGAAGATGTAAAAACTTGTTGTAAAGAGGGACCACAACGTTATAATATCAAAACCAATCTGACAGGGAACACTACCTAGATGCCACAGAGTTCATAGAAACAAGCAGCTCCATGATATGAGATTAAATAACTTTGAATTGGATCACACGATCTTGATCAGCATGTTGGGCTGAGACAGCTTTATGACCAAGTTGCAGACTGTAAATCAGATAAATGATTTATTTTAATAAGGCCGTCCTTTGATCATTTTTATGATATAAGCCTATTAATTATGTGGTCATTTGCAAAAACCTAGTAAAGAATTAAATCCATTTTCCAGAGATGAACGCTGGAATATGTTTTATGTAATACAGGATATTTGAACTTTTAGTGGTTGTAAACAAAAACTCTACTTGGTAGATATAACAGGCCACAGCAGAAGACAGGGCTACAGTTAGATGAAGTTTTAAAACATTCACATTCCAGGAAAAATTGTTCTAAAATGCAAATACATGGCATACTCAAAGTAAATAGACAGCTGTTCCAGATGTTAAAACACAAATCTGCTGTGGTCTAGGGTTGACATCAATTAAATAAAACTAAATCTCAGCAATAGTGAGTCAAGTGTGAACCTGCTTGGTAGGTTTTTATCAAGAGAAAACCAGTCTCTGATCAGTTTCATCAACTATTCACCGATAACATATTTAATCCATAATCTTGACGGTCTAAAAAAGACCAGGAACAGCATGTTTGGAGCCCTATCTTTATGGGAACATTTTAGGGCATATCCACAACATTAATTACATTACTATTCTTGAATATCGTCTTTAAAAAACAAAACAAGTTTAATACTTTTTTCAATAGTTTATTGAGGTATCTTACCAGTATTGGTATAACACCACTTGGCAATAAAACCAGCACTAAACACAACTATTAAGGAGAATGATCTGCAGAATGTTTCAGCATGCTGCTTTACAACACTCACCAGACAACAGGCTGTGTATATGCTTGGGTTTGAATCTGAGGGCGTATTTCCGCATAAATGTAATAGTTCTAAAGTTAGGTGACCAACACGATTTAGACACGATACACCATCTGCTCTCCATTTTGACAAAGAGTGGATAATGATCACAAACGTACAAAGCACTTGGGAAATTCAAAGAAGATCCAGATGTGCTCTTATTTATTTAATCATACTCTCCCTCTTTGACCTGAACACAATACATCATTTACGTAGGACGCCCTATTGATCACTGCCATGTTATACTGTAAACCTATATAACCCATGAAGCTTCGTTTGAAGGTAAATTTAACAATAAAATTGGGAAGGAATGACATGATTCACTCCAATAATGCAAAGGATTTTGGACAAAAATCAAACAAAGCTGTAAAAACTTGGATTCTTTTTCCACTCCTCTGTACTTTAAATTTTTTTAATCTTTTTGAAAAATCCAACTAATAGCACAGTGATGAATTCATTTTACTTGGTGCTTTTCTTTTTGTTCTTTGTGTTACATTAAATTAAAGTGCAACCAAATAGTTTAATGACCTACTTAATCCAAACGGAAAACAAATCAGTCGAATACATCATTCCTAGAGGGGAAACACCTTTCCTTTTATTCACTTCACAATTATATGCAGAACTTGTTTAAATAAATCAATAAACATTTATAGTTTGTTAAAAAATTTAAACAAAAAATCAGTTGAAATTCAATAATTCTATGGCTGAAATGCTCAGCATTAGGCTGATTTTATTCTTAAAATGGCATTTTTGTTTTGCATGTTATGCCATCTTTCTCTCCCCCATTCTTTAAAAACTCTATCAAAACTATAAATAAATAAATAAATAAATAAATAAATACAACTGCAAACAATGTTGAAAGATAACACAAGGCAGGTGGGAGGACTGTAATAAAATGGTTTACTCACCAATTAATCTTAGATAAAGAACAAACTGCCTCTTATCAAAAATCAAAGTTGTTTGTCCTCTCAAATAAAAATCTACAGCCAAAGAAAAGGAGTATGCATATAAAAATATCACATTCAATAACAAAGGGAATTTTCTTATAAATTTCCACAGTGAGTAAGGACTACACACCACTGGGTTGGGACAAGAAAAAGGAAAGATTTTTTTAAAAAGCATCTTGTAACATAATCTCCACGGTTACAGAGTCATTCACAGCTTGAGTGCAGGCTGTGTAATTTTATCTGCAATATTTCCTGAGGGGGCACAATTACAACACTGAAGCTGGGGACTTGTTAGTGAGAGTGGTGGAGCAAGAACTGCTGGGTGATCAAAAGTGCTTCTGATTACATAGCTAGATTTTCAAGCGTGTGCATGACCCTTTTAAAAAAAAACTTAATTTCTCCAATGCTCATTCAGTTTGATAATCCCTTCAAATAGCTCTCACAATTAGTTAATACGTGCTCCATGTCTATGGATGCAGAGATTTTACAATGCAAAATCCCATCATTGATGTAGAAAGCATGGACAGAAAATTGGCTAAATAAATTGGCTTTTTTTGTTCTATTGTGTAGCTGGGTCTATTACAAATAAGTGTGGGTCAGATAAATTGAAAAAACATTTTAAAAACAACTTTTAAAAAATGCTTTAGCTTTTTAAATAGTATTGATCATAGATTATTGTCAAGTTAAAAATCCTTTTCATATTTTTTTACGAGAGGGATGAGTGAAGACATCTGAAAATAACCACAAAAAATGTGGGAAAATATTGAATAAGGATGCACCAGATGGGGATATCTCCTCCTATGTAAAACTTAAATACAATTGTCCATTGATTCACGTTGATCAGATTATACCATAAGTCACTTCAATGTTAATTGTTTATTTTTCTTCCCTTATTTAGGACATGGTAAAAACTTAGAAATGAAAGAGTTCAAGGAACACAGATGCACATTTAGTTTATAGGGCAGTTGAATTTTAAGTAACACTCAGCAACTTATTTTCTTAAATAGCTCAATCAAATCACACTTTGTGGCGATTTACAGGAATATGAGTGTGTTTATTGTCTTACCCTAATGTAATTGAGAGCCCCAGGAGCTCAATGTAAAGCTCTCAGAGTTGATAAACAGAACTAAAATCACCGTTTGCGTTTAATGGCAGTGGAAATGGAGTAAGACCACAGAACTGAAGAGGCAATTCAGCAAATCATTGGTAGTGAGAACTGCTGTACAGTAACCTACCAGCAGATGATGAGACACAGGATAGAACCAGTTGAATCTAGGTGCTTAGAAGTAACTCAACTTAATAAGATAAAGCACCAGCGAGTAAACAATGATAAATTCAGTGAGCAGAAAACCCAATCAACAGTGTATGACCCTGTTCTCACACACACAAAAAAGTTAAACACAGTAAAACAGAAAAAACATGGTTCAGCTACATTCCGTGGTGATGTTGCTTCCAGAAGGCCTGTTCCATCTAGCACCTACCAGCCCCACAGCACGATTCAGAGAATTGCAATCTCTCACAACAGTTCCTTATCAGCATCAACACACCAGCAGAACTGGCAGTACTGCTTGGCCAGCTTATTGCCTGATCAGATAACAACTGCTGTCAGTCTGAGTCATTGTGTCAAGATGGCTCCAATTTGCCATGAGCTCACCATGAACTGAATCAGCACAATGTTACATCTGAAGAATGGTACAAAAAAATAACCCACCAGGGGTGAGTGAGAGCATCTGAATAAATCACAAATCTTTTTCCCTCAGTCTTTCTGACTTCTGAGAGTGGGCCACTCAAAATTTAGATTCCTATTCATCCTAAAACACCATGGAGAGTGGGGTGTCTGGTTGGTTAGAAAATTAAATCCATAGCGGGACGAGGGCCAAATAAGCAGCCCGAGCCATGTATTTCCACAACTACAGGGACTTTATACTGGAACCAGAGTCTAATTGGAGTCTTGAGGAAGATTTCTCAAGCCTGAAAAGCCCCCATCGTGAAAGGTAACACTTTTAAGATTAAACAAAACCTTTAGGATCTGGTTGGCAGTCCTGAACAAGTACTTGTAGCTTTTCATTTCAAACTTTTCTGTCTATTAATTTAGGATTATTATCTGCAATGGCTCATAAAACCAGTTTGATTTGAAGCTGTTCTGCTGGAATAGAGCTTACTGTTTCGAGATGAAACATTTCTACTTAGGTTTGGAAGCCTCAGATTGAATGAGGTATTAGAGCTCACACTATGACAACTTAGCAGTTAAATAAGAGCAATTGAATTTACCTCTCCGTCCAGCGTTTTTTCTCTAAGAGACATACAAAGACACCAAAATAATCATCAAACTTTTTTCTACAATTTAATCATTTCTAATATAAGAAAACATATTAAAACATATATATTGTTGCCGACACCTCTGTGGAACAGCAAAAACTCACTCTTGATTTACAGAGATACACGCCTGAGAAAATCATCTGCACTTTTTCTGTCTTTATCTGTCACATCTATTTTCTCTCTCTCTCTATATATATATATAGATAATAGAGGACAGGTGACCACCAAAGCAGCTGACATGGGAGATCGGGACAAGTCAGACACACCAAGCAGAGAAACAATGGAAAAGAAGGTTCAGCAGATCTACCTCTTGGCACTGGTGGAGAGCTTGGCTGCTGTCTTGCTGGAAATTTTGGCCTCCTTCTTCTTGGGCTGGGACTGGTCCCGTTGCTCCGGGCCAGGCTGCTCCGGAGGAGCCGCCTCCCTCTGCTCGGCATCTGAGCTTCCCCCACTGGTGTTAGGGCTGTCGTCTGGTCTCGGCTGCACCTCACTGGACATGCTGACACTGTGGAACAGCACAAACTTGAGCACACACACTTAATTTACAGAGATACACACCTGAGCAGATCTTCTGCATCTTTTCTGACAACTGGCCAGAAACATGACTGAGAATAAAAGAGAATCTTAGAGAGGTATATTTTATTATTATTTTTATATCAAAAGGGGTACCATGTCATCTATTATAAAGATTACAGGGACTATCCTCAGCTTTTTAAAGGGAGGGGATGCTACAAAGTGATCAATACAGACCCGTCCTAACTTCTGTGAGATGCTGGCATCATTCTGGGTGAGCTATTATTCTGTCTTTATTTATCAAAATGCCTCACTTTTATCATATACGTTTTTAAAAATCGATCGTGAAATACTCCAAACTTCACACGTTTTTATAAACCTTTTACACATTCCAAACATTTACACAAACATTCCAACCTTTTCAGCTTTGGAATTGTACTTGTCTGTGAAAGATTTTAAAAAATATTTCCAAAATACAAACTCACATCTAATTCTGAGTTCATACAGCATGATATCATCACAAAAACAGATGTAAAAAAAAACAGCTTTGAAAGACAAAATGCCATTATTGATGAGTGACCCCCAGGTTTTATAAAGCCAAAATCAAAATGTCTTTATTTGTAGAGTTTTTCAATAAAGACTTTGCATTAAAATGGTGTCAGCCCTTAGTATCTCTTTTATACTCTATACTCTATTATTCTTTGACCTCTCAGAGTATTCTAATATCACTGTGGATAAAAAAGAGTCTTGCATTCATAATTTTAAATGCGGTCTGACACTATAAATTTACCAGTTGTCATTGAATTTGTTATTGATATATTAGCAGACAAAAGTCGCCATACCAATTTTTTTCAATAAAAAAAATTGAATTCAGATAATAGGATACTTTGCATGATTGTCCTGCTGCGGTTGGCTGAACAGAGCAGGTCCCAGATTGTGTTTACTCTAAAAAACAGATTAATTTAGCTCTATGTTTCTTGAGACAACTTGAGAGAATGAACAGAAAAACATGTTACCTAACACACAATCATCAAATGATGATAAAACATTTTACCTAATTTGAAATTACATATCAACATGTCTGTGATTAATCATTTGGTGGTGGTATGCATACCAGGCTGTCTATCAATAACTGCTTACATCCATTAAAACACGTACCACAGCTTTAATAGAGGTCAGAAGAACACACAATGTGTTAGTTAGATGAGCAGTCTACGTGGAGCTCTACAATCTTTGTCACAAAAACATTAACCCTGCAAAAGAGAGACCACAGTTACAAAGTTGTTTTAACTGAATGTCACGCCATGAATTCTTTCATATTTGATGGAATGTAATTTCAAAATAAAACTCTGCATGATCTTTTGCCTTATATTTTCTCAGTCAATAGATACTGCATTTTTTAAGGATTAGATTAATTACATGACAACAAAGAAAAAAGCTGCATCAAAAGGTAATACTTTAAACTTAAAACTGGCACCAACATTAGTTTAAGTTAGTCAGAAGAGTGTAAAAGGTCGTCCGGTGCACTCTCAAGTGACAATCTCATGACATTTACATTCTTACATGCCCTTGCACACTCACATATAGTGAAAATCTAATATGAATCGTTGTCAGACAACAACATTGTGAGTAACAATAAATCTAGATTTATATGGGTCTGAGTCTAAGCTTTTTCAGGAACATGAATGGGACAAACAAGCATGGATCTCAACAAACGTCAGCATTGCCCTCATCAATCTGCTCTCATGAAAAAGAGAGCACAGGTTTTCACAATCAGAAATTTACAGCCACAATGATTTAACAGATTATAGACAATTGACTTGAAAGTTAAATGGCATCACTATGAATAATGTGTTTCCACCCACAGTGTGTCTGCTACATCTGCTTTTTCAGGCATGACTTGAAACTGAACTAAAATCTGAAAGCCTCTAATTCTTCCTTTTAAACATACAACAGGAAATAATCAATAATTACTTATTACTTCCTCAAAGGTACATTTAGAGACTCACCAGATTGACAATACCATGTACTATGTTGTTCTAACATGCAGCTGCAGAATTTCTTAAAGCTTAAATGCAAAAATCAACTATCTTCATATTAGTCAGGTTGAGCGTCTCACCTCTAACTCCTAGATTTTTGGAAAAAACACAAACATGGTCACATTCAATCCAAAAACTTCCATAATTTCTAATGTCTCATTATGTGGGCCGCATAAACGCCTCAATATACAACCCCAGGGTTAGGATGAAAAAATTCTAATACTATGGAAAGTATATGAGGACATATTTTGCCACTTTTCTAAAATAAATATACTGGTCAAAAGTATGAGCAGATTCTTCAATACAGAGAGCCGCTTTTGGTAGGATGACTCCCCTTTTGACATTTGACAAACAGCCGATCCACACAAGTCATCTGATGCAATTATCTGCAACTTGCGAGCCATCAGTGATAATTACGGATTTATAAAAGTTAAATAACAGTCCTCCATCTTTGTAAGGGTACCCCTCACAGGAGAATATGTGGAGAGGCTGCTCAGATGATGGAAAAGACACTAAAGCAAACGTTACAGATGCTGTTGACATAGAGTGCAGGTAATTATATAATCAAGTCTAAAAACCTAAACAACCAAACCTGTATTGAATATCCAAATTAGAAAAAAAAAGATAAAATGAAAAATAAAATCACAGCCCAAACTAAACCCACGATAAAAAAAAAGCATGACGGAATCTTTCGGAGGAATCCAGAATACCAAATCCACTCAAAAAATGTTTTTTACTGGACTACTTTTGCATAGATGTACAGTTCCAAATGTAGTAATATTTCTTCATTTAGGAGATTAAAGTCGTTAAAGTGAGCTACCGTAAACAAATATAGAACAACAACAAACAAATAACGAACTGTAGTGAACATACAACCCCAACATATACAACTTTAAATTCGACTTCATGGCAGACAGGTAAATTGAGCATACATATTTCGCTAATGGGTAGCTGACAAAAATGTTAACGGTAGAAACGCGTAGAAAATGAACATGCTAACCTTTGTCCATACTGTATAAGTGACTTAGACGACGGAATGAGTTCACGCTAGCCCGTGTGGGTCAAATGTTGGGGAGCCCGCGAGCTCTCTCTTAATGTCCACGGCTTAGTTGGCTACAACGGAGAGCAATGGGTGTAGTTTCGAAAAATATCCCGACAAACATTTAGCTAAATAGCACACATGTACATGACCCTGTCTTATTCAGTCGCAACGCTGGTAATGATCACCAGCAGAGCTGCCCCAGCACAAAAGACAGAATGGATGCCACCCTCCCCTCTCCAGCGACAATCATTCATTGCCGCCGCCCCCCGTTCCAGAAGATAACGTAATACACCTCCATTCTGTTTGAAGAGACGTTTCTTTTCTCAAAGAACAGAATGGGCCGCTTACCTTTGTACGCAGAGTGGACGCACAGAGCCAGGGAAGGAAATTGTTTACAATGCCCACTGTTAATTTTAATTGATCAAACCCGAAACACCCAATGTCCGCTGCTTGGTGTCCGTTGACTGACTGTTGCTAGAGAATGTGGCACAACACCACAGTAAAGCGGCAGTCATTACACTCACAGCTTCCGGTTTTATCTGACAAAAGTAAAAGCCTGCTCTTACATGTCCTCTTCTCTATTTGTAAAAAAAAAACTGGGGTCCATCGTTGCTGTAGATTCCAAGTGGTCCTGGTCATACTAATCCTTAGAGAATTAATGAAGGAAACAAGACTTTATTCTTAAGACTTAGGTTTTTAGTAAAATCTTTCTACATAAAAAAAAACTTGGGCCCATCGTTGCTGTAGATTCCAAGTGGTCCTGGTTATACTAATCCTTAGAGAATTAATGAAGGAAACAAGACTTTATTCTTGGATGAAGAAAACAATTTGATCTGTACTCAAGCATTACTCAAGTATGGGGCTGAGTTTAGAGAATCACTTTGAGTCAGTGGCATCCATCCATTATCAATGCCGCTTATTCACTGATGGGGTCGCGGGGGGAACTGGAGCCTATCCCAGTGGTCAACAGGCGAGAGGCAGGGTACACCCTGGACAGTCCGCCAGTCCATCGCAGGGCCACAAACAGGAAATACAAGGACAAACAACGATTCACATTCACATTCACTCCTAAAGGCAATTTCCCCAATCTCCAAAACATGCAGGTTTTTGGACTGTGGGAGGAAGCCAGAGAACCCGGAGAGAACCCACACAGACCATGCAAACTCCACCCAGAAGGGCCCTGGTTCCCCCGGGATTTGAACCCAGAACCCTCTTGCTGGGAGGCGACAGTGCTAACCACCACACCACCGTGCCGCCCCAGTCTGTGGCATAAGTACTAAAAATATAATTATCCTTATAAAACATATTAATCCAATGTCTTTTAGTAAATGAAACCATTAGGAATGGTAAACAATCACTATCACAATCCTGCTGTTTTTACTCCACTTCATATCACATTCACCACTGAATGAATTTGCTTTGATTTGCTTAAAACTTTAGAAAAACAGGAATACCTAAATAACTTTAATATCCTGGGATTATGGTTGTGTGATCGGGTCTAAAATATCGTTACACACGGTGTAGCGAGGTAGAAACTGGAAATGAGCAAAACAAATAAATACTCTAGAATCAGATTCACCCGCATCCTTCTGTTGGATGCGGGTGAATGCATTTGAAATGTACAAGAATTATCTATTTGGCTAATTATGCACGCAAAGACAATAATCTGAGTATTGTCAAGTTAATTCAACATGTAGGTTTATACAGAATTGTATTTAATTAGTTTAGTTTTTATGGTATTATTCTTCTATTGCCAAAAGAAGGCTTTGATCACTTTATACTTTTCTCCCCCTAAAGCACACAAAATTATCAAGCTGACTGTGATTCTTTAACACTTGGTAAAATGTATTACCAATTAATGTCAATCATTCATTTCCTTCCCAATGCCTCTAAGATACAAACAACTACGCACGGCGGTGTCCACTTTAACCAGCAATTGAGAGTCACTAATTAATCTAACATGCATGTTTCTGGAGTAACCGAAGAGAACCAACTCACACACGGGGTGAACAGTCAAACTCTTCAAAGAAAGGTCCTCGGTCGCCGGGAGTCGAACCGGGAACCATTTTACTATGAGGCAACAAGCCATAAAACAGTTGGCGTGAATGTGTCCATAATTAAACCTTGGAAAAATCAAACATTCAAACAGCGTTTTATCTACACGGGATCAATTCACATTTCCGGTTTGTTCATTCAAGGGAGCTTGACAAAGACAAAAAACAAAAACAAATAGGCTCCGTGCGCGTTCTCAAGCTCGTGCTCGCTGTGCTCTCTGAAGCGTTGAAGCAGGCTTTGATGATAGGGTAGACTACAATAGGTACGAAAGAGGTTGTAAATAAATAATGATATCTTAAATCTTTCTCTGCATTTTTCGTCTATTTTTTGTATTTATTAAATACAGTTTTTATTCAAGGTGAAACAATTTAGATGTATTGAGGCATCATGATCATTGAGTGATTTATGAAGTTCAGAGAATTTCTTCAGTAGAGTGGAATTATTATTACACTCAAGTCTTGAGTGTATATAAAACTTGAATTAAATAATTATTTGTTGTTTTATGACATCACGATTGACCACGGCTTTGTGCTGACACTGTACCGGAACTATTCAACGATAGACGTTTCTGCCGCATTAAGTACACTGACGGACTTTACTTCCCTAACATGCGCCATTGAAAACAAACGAAGTCGCTACAGAGGGGGCTACCTTTACACCAGATTTGGGCCCGTTTACTGAAAACTAATCAATCTTTGCTCAACGTACATTATCTTTGCTAACAATGGAGAGTATTTTAGAGCAACAGCGTCGCTATCATGAAGAGAAAGAAAGACTAATGGACGCTAAAACAAAAGAAATGCTACATAAGAAGTCCACGGTAAGCCGCGTCGCTATAGGCTAGCATTAGCACGAACATACTGGTCATCAGTACACAAACATCCAAACTAATTGCAACGACTGTTTTTTCCTATAATTGTAATTAATCTTTCTTTTAGCTTCGGGAGCAGATAAATTCTGACCATCGAATAAGAGCCATGTTGGATGTAAGTATGAAGTTTGTGGTGTCGTAAAAAGCTAAGACCGACCGCCTAAAGTCGCTGTTACTCTTAACTAAAGTTTTGTGGGTATAGTATTTAGCGTTCATAGTTGATGGCTTTCTGGTCAAATATGTGATACAATTTGACGCCAAATTAAAATGCATGTTCAGTATTCAATGTTTATTAAGCTCACCAATGATATCAATATAATTCTGTCCGTTATTGTAAGCCTGGAATGTTCTGCTGGATTATTCGTTTAGAGTATATTTGTGTATTGAGAGATAACATTAAAAGTACTAGTGGAAAAGTTAAGTACCACGAATTGAAGTGCCAGAAAATACCTATGCCTTTTTTTGCATGTTTTACTGTAAATCTTGATGAAATGGCAGATATTTAACATTTGTCTATCATGATTGTATTGTTTTAGTCTGAGGGTCTTATTTGGTCAAAAATGTCCATTGTTTCTTTTGACAGAGGTATATGGATGTGAGTGCAAATATCAGAGATTCCTATGAAGATAAAGATGGGTATGTGTCTTTGAATTTGACCAAAATACATAGGGTGTAGAAATAACTTATGATTTACAGTCTTGTGCCTAAATGTTCACTCTTACAGTTGCTTCTTATTTTGTTTTATAGTTAAATTAATAAATATACCCAAGTTTTTAAATGTGTCTCTTATGTATTTTGGAGCATGAGGAGAGATGAGCTTGCTGCCATCTCTGGACCAAATGAGTTTGCCGAGTTCTACAACAGACTGAAACAGATAAAGGAGTTTCACAGAAAACACCCAAATGAGGTATTAAATGTCTCTTTGAAAGTCTGATGTAACTTCTTAACATATTTTAAAAAAAATCACACTGCTCACAGACTGTTGTTATGTTTCTTGTAGATTTCCATTCCCATGTCTGCAGAGTTTGAAGAGTTGATGAAGGCCCGAGACAACCCGAGTGAGGAGGACCAAAGTAAGTTCAAGGACATGTTCTGTAACACCAGAAAAGTTAGTTTCACTGATGAGAGAGAAGGTTATCATTGACAGCATACACTGTTGTGTTCATTGAGAAGTCTGTAAAGGCAACAAGGTAAACGTTGCTGCCTAGAACACCAGTCAGAACAGTCAGTTTGGTGCTGGTCTGTAATGGATTGGGGATTAAAATAATGATAATATCAAACTTTTTTTCAGACCTGGTGCACTAGGTCATGAGCTTGCATGTTCAGGATTAGCAGGAGATCATGGGGAATATACACCCTTGTAGTAATTTGTCTGGATGAAATTCACACACGTGAGATCAGTTTTTGGTTCTTGGTGTTTGTTTTTTATGGAACATGGATGGTAGCTTTTTATTTTATTTTGATGGACTTGTGACTGTTAATCAAAGATGGACAATTTCAGTATTTCAATCATTGATATGTTGGTGCCTTTAGGGCATGCTTTTATCTAAAGCGACTAACAATTCAGACATAACATTACAGTTAACATCAAAGCTAACAAGCTACATAGAAGGAAATCACCAGACAGACTTTGTTACAGGTGACAATGTAGAGTTGGGTTGGGGGGTACAGGGTAAATGTTAGGTTAGGAAATGCTCTCTGAAGGCCTTGGTCTTCAAGATTTTCTTGGAGATATACAGGCATGCCCCTATTCTTATAGTGCTCGGTAAGTCATTCGACCATTGTGGAAGAACACATGAAAATAGTCTTTCTGGATTGTCTTAAGTGTGGTGAAGGCACTTCTGGATGCCAATTCTTTGATGACCACCAGATTTACCAAATTGTGACATAAGCCTCTGGCAAAGTATTCAAGTAGATGATAGCCATACTCCTAAGGACCTTGTAGACTAACGTATGGGACTTGACTTTGATTTGGGTGACTAAGGGCAGCCAGATCTGACTTGTGACTTAAAAGTTTAGATGTAAGCTGCTGAGCACACAGTTGTAAAATTAAGATTTATCTCTTTCAGACATGGTTGATTTCACTGATGAGGAGGGATATGGCCGTTACCTTGATCTCCACGACTGCTACCTGAAGTACATCAATCTAAAGGGAGCCGAGGTTGGGATCTTTTCCAAATGTGGTTGATCAAGTCATGTTCATGAGATAGAGCCAGATATGTTTTTAATCTACTTTCCATGTCTTTGCAGAAATTAGAGTACATCACTTACCTGTCTTCATTCGACCAGCTTTTTGACATCTCAAAGGACAGGAAGAATGCAGAGTACAGAAAGTAAGTATCTGGTTTACAAGCCAACTGAAATGGTACTGCATAATCTTGGTTTGAATAAAATGAGCATGCTGTTGGTTGTACAGGTACTTGGAGATGTTGCTGGAATACCTGCAGGACTACACAGACAGGGTCAAACCTCTGCTGGACCAGAACGATCTCTATGGCAAAGTACTGGTAGACTTTGAGAAGAAATGGGATAACGGGACCTTTCCAGGCTGGCCTGTAAGTTTTCCTTGCGAGACCTAAATGTGATGACGGTTGAAGTCTGGTCATGTAATTTGTGACATTTGTTTGTTTTGTTGATCTTGCTGTAGAAAGAAACCAGTAGTGCTTTGACACATGCTGGGGCTCACTTGGACCTGTCTGCTTTTTCCTCTTGGGAGGTAAGTCATCTCAAAGTTCCCATTCTTGAATGTTTGTTTTTCACGGTTGCTCTTTTTTATTTAACCTTTGCTCGTATTCATGTCTGTTTGTAATGCAGGAGTTGGCTTCATTAGGTCTGGACAGATTGAAGTCTGCACTCTTGGCTTTGGGACTGAAATGTGGCGGGTGAGAATATAAGAAGTGATAAAAAAGAGATAACTGATCATTATGATTGTTGTAATTCATTTGAAAGTTCATTTGACATGGCCTCTACAGCTTTTGTTTGTAATATTGTGGTCCAAATTTATGTACTCAATTGTACAACCAGTTTTCTGTTCGTAAGGATTCAGACCAAGATAAGAGCTTGACTATTTTGAGTTCAGGGTTGATAGAAACCATAACAATTCTGTTCATAAATGTTAGCATACGCACCATATATATTAACTAATGAATGGCTTACAAAACGATTGTCTAAATATTTAGCCAGCTGTGTTTGAATTTTAGTCTGGACATTTTCTTTTTTAATTTTATTTCCCTTCACCATGTGGTTACAGTCCAGGTTAAGAGCCAGAAAATATGCTCTTTCTAGTATAGCGCTGATAAATTGGGGCTACATGAGCATCATCATTTTATAAGAGAGCCAGGTTCATCAGATGATGGAGGGCAGAGTTTTGGACAAATGAGATAAACACTATGAAACCTTTATTGTGCTATACAGCAACATGGAAATTATGTCAAGGCAACTTAATAGCTTGTATCTGCTCATCTTATCAACTTCCAGAATAGTAAACATTTTTCAACCAACTGCCCCTCCACACACCTACTGTATTCTGCCATAAGTCTCCATTCCTAATTTTACCATAGTAGTGGTGAACGGAAAGTGGATTTTAAACTTGAATGGATTTATAGAAATTCTGTTAAATTATTGTGCTATTGAAATAAATTTAGATTCACCTTTTGTTATAGGCCATCTATGACAGTATATTATATTCTATTTGGGAAACGCATGGCAATTCTCACATGCACTGGTGCCATTTAAGAATCTAGAAGTTGCACACAGCTGTTTTTTCTGCTTTTGTGAAACACCACAAACTGTTGGAAAAATTACATGCTCAAATTAGATTATCTCAATCAGGGAGTAGTCTATATGCACAGAGATTCAAGAGCCATTTGCAAATGGTACTGGAACTGTTTATTGTCCCAATTGTTGACCAGAAAACTAACAAATGCTGAGACATTAAAATGTGAGCTGTGTTTGTTATACTAACATGAAGTGTTTAGACATGCTGCTGATATGGTGTTTATCTGTGTGGGCAGAACTCTGGAAGAGAGAGCTCAGAGACTCTTCAGCACTAAAGGAAAATCTCTGGAATCTCTGGATCCATCGCTGTTTGCCAAGAATCCCAAAGCCAAAGGCCCTAAAAAGTAAGTGGGCATAAAAAAATGTGTGTAATGCTGATGCCGTTCTCTGGTAGCACTCATTACATACTTCATAATATGTTCCATCTCTCACTTCTGCAGAGACACAGAGCGTAATAAGGAGATTGCGTTCCTGGAAGCTCAAGTCTATGAATATGTGGAAATCCTTGGGGTGAGTTTGTGCTTAATCAGATCTGTCTACACTCGATTGTTATAAAACAGTTTTTAGCTCGTAATGCTCGACGTGGGTTCTTGTGTGATCGTACTAATGACTGTTTAAATGTGTTTGTTTGGGGGTGTTAGGAGCAAAGGCAGCTGACTCATGAGAATGTGCAGAGGAAGCAGGCTAGAACAGGAGAGGAGCGTGAGGAGGAAGAGGAAGAGCAGCTCAGTGAGAGCGAGAGCGAAGACGAAGACAACGAGATCATCTACAACCCCAAAAACCTGCCACTGGGCTGGGATGGAAAGGTGACGCGACAGAACTGTCTGAATACGTTTGTAACAGCCCAGTGTCTGAATCGACAGGCCATCCGCACACAGTTTCAGTCACAACACTCCCAAGACCTTTTCTTCTCAGTATTAGACTGTTGGTCATAATCGTATTGCTGAATAGAGAACCGTATTTCAATCACTTTGACTGCTTCCAACCACTGTTTTTATTTAATATAATACAGCTGGGTATGCAGTTCAAAATGACTTAAAATATTTTCAGCCTAGCTGTGCCTTCATGTTACACATAGTAGTAATTAAGTTTTCCTTTTCGACCGAAGCAACAGTTTAGTTATTGTGGCGTAATAAATCCTTGTTTGTGACATGGTTTTCAAAAAAGTGACCTTAACGAAAGTGAAAAGTGAGTTGTTTTGTCTAAGCACAACCACTTCACATTTGGCTCACTAATATAAATGTTACGGCTACATAAATTGATAAACTGTCGCTCTGGGTTTCTGAGTCACACCTCAGTTGATTTACATTTCCAGATAAAAATCAGGAACATTTACATTAACGTGACCATTGACTCAATGGCGTTGCTTTCGTAGATCGATAAAGCTATTAATGCTTTATATCTAATGTCTGAACAGGGCTTTCCAATGTACATAAAGTAGAGGCACATGTTAGGTAGTTTGTGGAGGGCATTTAGAGTCCTATTGTCCAGTGTTTTTATACAAGTTTAGACGCCTTGGCAGTGCCAGTGTTATGCAACATAGTGACACTGCAGCATGAAAGTTCTCATCTGACTTTAAAATGCATTCAAATTATTGTGCTTATGCCCAACACATTTAGACAATGTTCTCATTGAGAATATATGGATGGTTTCATACACACTGAGCTACACTTGCTGCTTAAGTTTGGAACATATCTTTCGAATTGGTAGATTTAGGCTTGATTTCCACTACTCTGTTTTTAGTTGGGTTTTCTATAGTTATTTGTTTGTTTTTGCTAACGGCCCTGTTGTTCTTTCTAGCCAATCCCATACTGGCTCTACAAACTCCATGGTCTGAACATCAACTACAACTGTGAGATCTGTGGGAATTACACTTACAGAGGACCCAAAGCCTTCCAGAGGCACTTTGCTGTAAGTCACTGTATTCAAAATGGACTCTCGTTTCCTCTTGTAGCACTGAAGGTTGGAAACAAGTATATTTATTGTTTTTTGTCTTATTTTTCTTTAAGGAATGGAGGCATGCTCATGGTATGCGTTGTCTAGGAATCCCAAACACCGCTCATTTTGCCAACGTCACACAGATTGAGGATGCCGTCTCTTGTAAGTCTTCTTTCCAGCTTGTTGTTACAGTTTGTGCTTGAATGTGTTTGAAGAAGTCAGCTTTGAGAATTTGTATATGTTTAACTCCAGTGTGGGCAAAGCTGAAGTCTCAGAAGGCATCAGAGCGGTGGCAGCCTGACACAGAGGTAAAAAAAGCATTCATAACAGCTGCTTTAGGACAATTTGCTCTCTAAATGCAACTCATTTTAACATTTTTGTGTGACTTTCAGGAGGAGTACGAGGACTCTATTGGGAATGTGGTCAACAAGAAGACTTACGAGGATCTGAAGCGACAAGGCTTGTTGTAAACAGAATAAGTAAAACGCATAATATGCGTCTGTGAAGCCTCTTTTTAAATCACCTTTTTTTTTTACGACATATTTGCTTATATGTGTCTTTAATAGTTATTAGGCTGTTCCTCACTCTGCCTACACTCTTTAATAACTTTGTAATGTGGTAACTTTTGGTCATTCAAATAAATTGAGTACTTTTGTCAAATCTACAAGTTGTTCTCTGTTGATTACCTGCTGCATCAGAAGCTTTGAGCCATTTATATAGTTATTCATCCATCCATCCATCCATCCATTATCCACCGCTTATCCGGGGTCGGGTCGCGGGGGCAGCAGCCGGAGCAGGGAAACCCAGACTTCCCTCTCCCCGGCCACTTCAGCCAGCTCCTCCGGGGGGATCCCGAGGCGTTCCCAGGCCAGCCGGGACACATAGTCCCTCCAGCGGGTCCTGGGTCTTCCTCTGGGCCTTCTTCCGGTGGGACGAGCCCGGAACACCTCCCCAGGGAGGCGACCAGGAGGCATCCTAAACAGATGCCCGAGCCACCTCAACTGGCTCCTCTCCACGTGGAGGAGCAGCGGCTCTACTCCGAGCCCCTCCCGGATGGCCGAGCTTCTCACCCTATCTCTAAGGGAGAGCCCAGCCACCCTGCGGAGGAAACTCATTTCGGCCGCTTGTATCCGCGATCTCGTTCTTTCAGTCACTACCCAAAGTTCGTGACCATAGACAAGGGTGGGAACGTAGATCGACCGATAAATTGAGAGCTTCGCTTTTAGGCTCAGCTCTCTCTTCATCACGACAGACCGGTACAGCGCCCGCATTACTGCAGACGCCGCACCGATCCGCCTATCGATCTCACGCTCCCTACCCCCGTTCGCGAACAAGACCCCGAGATACTTGAACTCCTCCACTTGGGGGAGGACGTCCGCTCCGACCCGGAGAAGGCACTCTACCCTTTTCCGGTGAGAGACCATGGTCTCGGACTTGGAGGCACTGATCCTCATCCCAGCCGCTTCGCACTCGGCTGCGAACCGCTCCAGCGAGAGCTGTAGGTCCCGACTTGATGGAGCCAACAGGACCACATCATCTGCAAAAAGCAGAGATGCGATCCTAAGGCCACCAAGACTGACACCCTCAACACCTCGGCTGCACCTAGAAATCCTGTCCATAAAAGTTATGAACAGGACCGGAGACATAGGGCAACCTTGGCGGAGTCCAACTCCCACCGGAAACGGATCCGACTTACTACCGGCAATGCGAACCAGACTCTGACTCCGGTCGTACAGGGACCGAACAGCCCGTAACAAAGGGCCAGGTACCCCATACTCCCGGAGCACCCCCCACAGGATACCCCGAGGGACACGGTCGAACGCCTTCTCCAAGTCCACAAAACACATGTGGACTGGTTGGGCGAACTCCCATGCACCCTCTAGGACCCCGCTGAGGGTATAGAGCTGGTCCAGCGTTCCACGGCCAGGACGAAAACCACACTGTTCCTCCTCGATCCGAGACTCGACTATCCGACGGACCCTCCTCTCCAGAACCGCTGAATAGACTTTCCCAGGGAGGCTTAAGAGTGTGATCCCCCTGTAGTTGGAACACACCCTTCGGTCCCCCTTTTTAAATAGGGGGACCACCACCCCAGTCTGCCAATCCAGCGGGACTGCCCCTGATGTCCACGCGATGTTGCAGAGTCGCGTTAGCCAACACAGCCCCACAACATCCAAAGCCTTAAGGAACTCCGGGCGGATCTCATCCACCCCCGGAGCCCTGCCACCGCGGAGCTTTTTGACTACCTCGGTGACTTCAGCCCCGGAGATTAGAGATCCTAACTCCGGATCCCCAGGCTCTGCCCCTCCAAAGGAGGACACGCCAGTGGGATTGAGGAGGTCCTCGAAGTACTCCGCCCACCGACCCACAACGTCACGAGTTGAGGTCAACAGCACCCCATCCCCACTGTAAACAGTGTTGGTGGGGCACTGCTTCCCCCCCCTGAGACGCCGGATGGTGGACCAGAATCGCCTCGAGGCCGTACGGAAGTCTTTTTCCATGGCCTCCCCAAACTCCTCCCACGCCCGAGTTTTTGCCTCGGCGACCACCCGAGCCGCATGTCGCTTGGACTGCCGGTACCCATCGGCTGCCTCCGGAGTCCCACAGGCCAAAAAGGCCCGGTAGGACTCCTTCTTCAGCCTGACGGCATCCCTCACCGCCGGTGTCCACCAGCGGGTTCGAGGGTTGCCGCCACGACAGGCACCGACAGCCCTGCGACCGCAGCTCTGGGAGGCCGCGTCATTGATGG